TGCGCATGTTAATTTTATAACTTTCATTTCCAGCACATTTCCATCGATTATTAATATCTTTAATTAATTGTACATTCGTTCGACGACAGTTTATTGATTGAAGCAAGCAGTGAGCAATTATTTTATCGTACAAACGTTACAAAGTAATTTTTATTTTTATATGAACTTTTATATATAAATATATATAAATATATAAATATATATATATATATATATATATATATATATATATATATATATATATAAAGAAGAAACTTCTCTTTCATCGTACTTTATTATTTATGTACTTAATAGTTTGACACAAACCGGGTACTGGTATTATCATTTCTATGGGGGTAATATATACCTATATATATATATATATACCTATATATATATATATATACCTATATATATATATATGGGTAGATAGGAACCTAAGGCATGCACTTAATCTGTCGATATTTGTCTGTCATACTTAGTGCGAGTGGAAAGTGCCTAAAACTTTGTCCATAATATACATACGTACGAAACCATTGTCTGTTATTATCCATTGTTTTATCTTTAATATGAATTTATGATAATTATTGCAAAATTTATGATAATATTCATTCATATTATGTTTACCAGCATCGTTGTTGCACTTTCTAGCTAGTTGAAAAGTTTTCATATCAAATACGAGTTTTCTCATCTACATACACACATAGATACATACATACATATACGTACATACATACATACATAAATACATTAATACATTTAAGCTACCCTCCAGGTGTTTCCAGAGTCGGACATACAAGCACCCAATGCAATTTCCGCTAAGTGCGTGTCTCTATGAGGTGGTACAGCTATCTCATGAAACTTCTTTATGGCTTTGACCAGTAATTCTATAGCTCTTTCAGGCTTTTCTTCCTCCATCTTATCCAATCCTTGAACATAGAGTACCTCACACTCGAGCAAAGAATTAAGTCTTTCGACGAGGTTGATGCTTTTCTGACAACCGACACATTTTATCGTTTTATCGGTAATTTCTTTTCGTCGATATAATCTATTACATCCTTCGGTGGTACATCTGTAATATAATAAAAACAATATTATTACGTTTGTAAAATTGTTAATGATTTGATTATTTTTAAAAATTATTTGTTTCATCTTTTCATTTTTCCTACTGAACTTTTCCCTGAAAAAAGAGAGAGAAAGACAGAGATAGATAGATAGAGAAAGAGAGAAAAAGAGAGAGCGAGAGAGAGAGAGAGAGAGAGAGAGAGAATAAAAATCCCTAGAAATCTTTTACGTCTTTCTACATTTTTAGTACAAAGGTATATAAAATGAAATAATATGTGAAAAAGATATAACGAGATACCATTCCATGGTTCACGAAGCATACGTTTCGACAACAGTAAAGGTTCCTTTAGATCTCTTGAAAGATACCTTTGGAATCTTACAATGCAGAGAGGTGAAAAGGAAATCGGAGTAATAAAAGGTATCTTTTAAAAAGGATACCATTTGTAAGTACTCTTCAGGTATTCTATTTACAAAATATTTGACGGCATTATATCGTTTCTCCTTTGTAAAATACTTTGTAATATTATTTTACATATCTTATTTTGATCGATTATACTTAAGACTAGAAATATAAAGCTGAAAGAGATCCTTTGTTTTAAAACGTTAGAAAATCTTTTTCATAATGATAATATTAATAATAATAATAATAATAATAATAATAATAATAATAATAATAATAATAATAATAATAATAATAATAATGATAATAATATTGATAACTTTGATAATGTAATTATATTTTTACTAACAAGAGAAGAATAAATAAAAGAGTTTTTTACGTTGACATAATGTTCGATTTACGTAAAAATAATGATATATATATATATATATCTATTGGTAATACGACATGGAATCAATTTATTTATTTTCTTTTCTTTTTTTTTTTTTGTATATATATATTTAATTAACATAGATTCACCTCAATTTAGCCAAATCGTTCGTCATTCTTTCGAAAAGCGGCCAATCATCCTTGCAAGCCTTGCACGTGCATTTAAACCAGTATCTACCTGAGAGCGTTCTTTGACGTTCCTCGAGATTTCTTTTTGTAAATATTGGACCATAATTTTCGGCTATCACGTCGCCAGGTTTCAAGGTTCTAATCGCACGTATAACGATGTTCCTTCCAACGAAATATCTATTTTTCAAATAATTATTCGTCATTTATATATCATCCACATGAATTAGATATTTGTTTGATTGGCAATGAGTTTCTTATTTTTTCAGTTCTTTTTTTCTTTTTCTTTTTCTTTTTTTTTTTTTTTATCCTTTTCTTTTCTCCGAGCTCTTACCTCGTCACAGCGGGGTAGCAATCGTGATTGAAACGAGCTACCGTAGGATATATTGCCACTCCTAAATATATCGATTTGCTACCACGGAAACGATGATTCGCATTAACACGAGTCTCGGAGAATTCGTGGGCATTGAATTGAAGTAATTGAAGATTCTTTAAGAGCAA